ACCAATGTGCCTGGCTCAGAAGCACTAGGCGAACTGGGAGATGTACATAGAATTGATCAGATGCAAGGTCTTGTCCTCAAGACATCTGTATAACAATAATAATAGCTTTATTCCTAAAGGTATTTTTGGTACAGGTATGGAATTTTCAGCGTTCATTACAATATTGCATCTAATTACCTCATAAATTTTATAAGGATTTAAAAATATAAAGCAACAACAACAAAAAGAAAAAAGAGAAATAAAAGAAATAAAAAAGAACAGCATTGCATTCACATATTTAAACAATGCACCACAGGATATGATATATAAAATTAGTCTGTAATAGAATATATGAGCAACAATATAATAGTAACAAAGAAAGGAGAACAAAAGCTAATGGGAACTACTTGTTAGAGTGCCGCAGTAAGTTGATCGTGTCATGCCTAACAGTTTTCTCATCACATAACAGCTGTGCCAGATAAGGTATTGTGGAGTTTTTATACTTGGTAGTCCTGGCATATAGCCTCCTATAGCTGCTTCTAGTTCTACCAGATGAAATGCAAGGAGAGAGCTGCGTATAGAGAGGATGCTCAGGGTATGACAATATAGTATTCGCTAGTTTCTTACATGACATTATATGTCTATCCAGTTGGTTTAACGATATCCCACTTGCCCTACTAATGGCTTTTAGTGCCCTTCTCAGCAAAGCAAAGTCTTAAGTAGTCCAGGAAAGATTAATGAGGAGCAGTAAAGAGGGATAGTTGGAATACAAGAATTGACAAACTGAGAAAGCAAGGACTGCTTTATACCAGACTGCCTTAACTTCCTAACGTAGAACGTTGAGCGAAACATCTTTCTAGTCACTAGCAAGATGTGAGAGGACCAGGAAAGATCGGAGGAAATACTCAATCCAAGGTACTTGACATTAGATGTAGTTTCAACCTCTATGCCGTCAATGATAGTGGGACCATGTGAGCTAGCTAGTTGTTGTAGGTCACTTTTTCGTCTGAAAGTAAAATTTACTACCTGACATTTAGACGGATTTAGCTTAAGACCGTTTGAAGAGGACCACTGACTAATTTCCGAGAGAAAGTTATTTAATTTGGAACAATCCGACTATGAGTTGACAGGCATGGAAACAGAGAGGTCATCAGCATACTTAACAAAAGTGGTTACATCAGAATGGGGTAAGTCATGTAAGAAAAAAGAAAACGGAAAAGGAGAAACAACAGCACCTTGAGAACACCAGCTAAAGTAAGTGAGGTAGTGGAGGACTTTCCATTGTAGACGGTGTACTGCTTCCTATCAGTAAAATAGGAATGCAACCACTCATTTGTCCAGCTCTCAGCCTGTGTTGCAGCAAGCTTACTTAGCAAGAGAGACCTAGGTACAGAGTCAAATGCAGATGTGTAATCTAGGAGGGCACACCGAACATATTTAGCTCCTCTATCAAAATTAGAGACTATATTATGATATAAGACAATAGCGGCATCTAAGGTACACCTATTATGTTTATAAGCAAACTGGTTGGGGTCATTGAAAGGCTTTAGAGAGGGTTCAAGATTAAGTAAAATAAGTCTTTCCATAACTTTTAAAAAAGGTGAGGTAATAGCAAACGGTCGAAACTTAACAGTAGGTCCACTTGTTGATTTAGGCACTGGAACAATCTTGATATTTTTCCATGAGTCAGGAATAATACTTTTGGAAAAAGATTCATTGAAAATGTCGGTTAATGGGTAACATAAGATGTCAGCACACTTCTTAAGGATAACAGCAGGAACTCCATCAGGACCAGGGGACTGAGTAGGTTTGAGAGATTGAAGACACTTAAGGACATCATTCGTGTGAAAACATGAGAAGCAGTCATTATTTATACTATTAGATTTGGGAATCATAACATCTGCATGGATACATATGAAGGATTTATTAAGCATATCAACATCAACGGAAGTATCATTCATTATTTGCTTACCACCTGTGATTTCCTTTAATAGCTTCCACATATTAGATGAGGATTTACATGAAAGAAACTTCTGGTTGTAGAGAGCATTTAGTCTTTGTAATTCGGCTTTAATTAAAGTGTTCATTCTCTTAACACCAGACTTATTTTTCATTTTGTACAACCTCTCTTTTTCACGGCGAAGCTTTTTGAGTTGAGAAGAGGAGAAGCGGTCGAATTTTAAGAAGATTGTCTCTTTAGGACAACAAACATCAAGACAGAAATTAAGATAATGTGTTATGTTACTAATTGTGTTATCGAGAGCTTGTTCAGTAAACAGGTCCCAGTTTGTGTCTTTTAACATTGTCCTTAGATTCTGTATGTTGTCATGTGAATAACATCTGTGTTGTGTTTTCTTTTCAAGGTAGGAGAAGACCCTTTTGTGCTCCCTTCCATATACTTTGGGCAATATTCTTATGATGCAGTGATCAGAATTAAGTAGTGGGGCTCTTTTCCTAGCTTCAAATATTCCTATGTCATTTGTAAACACAAGATCTAGAGTATTTTCCATTCGAGTCGGGAAGTTGACAATGTTACCATGACCAAGTGAAATAAGGAAGCTGTGATCACTAGAAGTGAAATCTCCAGTAACTGTAGACAAGGAGTTTCCAAAGGAGGTGGCAGCAAAGGAGGTAATTTCATCCGCAAATAAAGACAATTCAGTGGAATTGCATCCAGGCGCAATATAAATGTTCGAGATATATATGTAGTTATATTTTGACAAATGTTTAGGTCGACATTTAACGGTGAGGCAGTCAATGTTGTCACTAGAGAATTTGAAACATATCTTATCGGATGTACACTATTGTGAATTGATGAAGATGGCGACTGGACGACTGGAAAACACTAACTACTCTTGGCGTTGATGCGAAGAATTTTCTCCTCAAAGATCCTGAAATTCTTCTCTTGAGGATATCACAAGCCAAGTCTCTCTGGAAATCCATGTTCTTGTGAGGTTTCTTTTTTGCAGCAAGTAATGTTCCATTCCTCTACACTTTCGGTCTGATATTCTTTCTGATGAATCCATTTTGGATGAAGGTTTCTTTCAGGAAATCCAGTTCTGCTTCCAGGGTGTCAGGACTGCAGATGCGTTGGATCTGAGTGGCAAGGGATTTAATCGGATTTCGTTTTCATTTAACGGGAACCCAAGTGAGATCCCATGACAGTACCGTCCTTTTGTCCGTAGATGGTGTCATTGAAAGTGAATTGTATGTTAAGAGTACAAAATTGAACCAGGACATTTAAATGATCAAATAAAACAAATAAGGTAAACATAACTAGCTGGTGACTCTCACCAAATTTTATTGAAAATGTATGAAGACTTATGGGAATAAATAAGAATGGTAATGCAAATATCGGAAATACAATAAAGAACTCAACGCCTTGATAATACTACCGTTTTAAGAAGGAACATGAGAGGATCTACATTTGGGATTAATTTGGTGGATAGTGACTAGCAGTGGGATCCAGAATGCGTATCTCGTCCCAGTTTTTGGACCACTCGCCAGCTGGATGTACATACATTCCTCAGAGGGTGATTTTGTCTCTACTGAGGCTCGAAGCCGGTACACGCCCTTCTAAACGCTAGAGCATTATCCACTAGACTACTTGAGCTACGAGAGCCACTGGGGAATGCAGGTTCATCCAGTGACGAATCCCAAACAGGACGAAATGCAAATCTTCAGTCCCACTGCTGGTAACTCAGCACTATAAATACTTCAGGTCATTCCTCAGACATCGTTAAAGCGTACACATTGGGAGTTTACATATCAACAAAGGTCAAACATTTCGGTCCACTCAGTCAACGGAAAAGTCAAGACCGAATTAAAAATATGGCCGGAATTAGCTATAGAGATACAACTGTACAGACTGAAAATAAAATCCGTATGCATGAAAAGAGGGTAAAGTTAAAGAATGACAATTCAAGCGGTTCGAAAACACAAGTGACCTAGGGGCGACCAATTAGAATGACCACTGTGTTGTTTCCCATAAAAACGCCATTTACTTACTGGAAAATCAGAGGTAACAATTGTGAACACCTTAAACCTGTTTATTAGAAAAATTCAGATAATAAAAGTATTACCCATTCCATCTGGTCTCGCAGATTCCCACCACTTCTATACCATATCTTTGCATTTCTTTAGCTACCTGGGTAGCTTCCCCAACAGGCTTCATACATTTCACATACTTTCTACGTCCCGATTCTTATTCTTGCTTTTACCAAGAGAAGACACATAGTCTGGCTAACTAGCCTCCAGAAGGCGGGCTTTCACTAGCCCTCTGTGACATTTTCTCCCCTCCGATTTCAATAAAGAATAAGTTTGTTTTATATATTTCTTTTATTTCTAGTATTCTTCTTGTGCATTGAAGTTTCTGTAGCAGTATGAATGGTTTTGCGGGGTAGGGCTACTGGCCCCAAGCCCAACCCTCTCTCTTTTCCCTACCTTGGGACCGGTCAGAAAACCACCTAGCCAGTAAACTAGGCAAGGTTGATAATTTAAGTAAAACACTGTAATCCCAATCCTAGTCCTAACCCGGTCATACCCTAGCCTTAATCGTAGCCCTAATCGAAACCCTAACCATGATTTCAAACCTAACTGTGATCCTAACAAACTGTCAACCCATTATCCAAACAGTATTAAAAACGAGATCGGAATGAAATCTGCATCACAATTCGTGCACAGTAACCACAGCGACTCTATAATAAAAGAAAGGTGCCATCATCTAACAAAGTTAATGATGCTTTCGTACTCTTGGGTCTCTATTGTTTAATTTGGCCAAAAAATGGACATACATTTGTCCACCAAGAACCATTATCAGGGGAGACATCCAACCTCCAAGTATTGCTTAAAATCACAAAATGCAAATATTGAATATTATTATTATTTCCTTTAGTTCCTAGAGGAACATAGGGCTTCAGCCATGCGTCTCCATTGCGTTCGGTTCTCTGCTAGATATATATATATATGTATATATATATATATGTATATTTATGTATAATCTACCAGTTGTATTAACTTACCATGAGGAAAAATGTACTGCCTCGGTTATAAGCAACCAGGACACCGAAAGCGTACAAGCAGATAAACATTACAGTTATCGCCATCAACGTTAGAGTGATTGGTCCTAAATAATAATAAATTAAAAAAGAGAACAGAGACAGATACATACGGAGAGAATGAAAAAGAGCAGAGGATCATAAGGTAACTATCACTGACTAGCTCCACTAAAAGTTCTAACTGACATAAGTTAGAATTTATGGACCGGTTATTGGATTTCATCCGAATAAGTGAATGGTCATTTATTTATTTATTTAAACGCAAAAAACTTGGTACAATATGGCACCAAGAAAGATGCGCCACACAATAATAATAAAACAACATAGATCAAAGGTAAAAAAGTATGAGTAGAGAACGGATAAAGAACTTCATCTGGTAGGAAAACAGTCATACATAACAAGTTCAAACAGTATTCGTCAACTGCCATCAGGAAGGGAAGAAAGAAGGAAATTGCAACACGTTCGCCATTGATTACGATTCCTGGCCATATCCGATAACGTTTCGAGCCATCGATTCGAGCTATCTCGCGGACCCCAACCAGGGAGTCGTGACGCATCAACCGATGCCAATCTAGCACAAACATCCTTCATCCCACGACGGCACGTTATGGGCTGACCACCCCTCCGCCTTTTCCATCCCGTCCCAGGGCTAGCGAACAGAGACCTGTACGGAAGCCTCTGGGATGACATTCGCAGCACATATCCAAGCCACCGGAGCCGGTGTTTCCAGATGACGACACTCATTGAATGGTGATCTCCAATGTGTTCAAACACACGCCGCCGAACCTCAGAATTACTCACGCGATGATGCCATCGAACGCAAGCAATCCTGCGGAGACAGCGATGATCGAACACGCAGAGCCGCCGCACATCACCAGCTCGGAGAGGCCAAGTGAATGGTCAACAAGTTCCCCTGATAACATGAAGGTTCTGGGTTCGATCTCCCTTGAATGTGTGTGTGGGTGTGTGTAGGGATGAAGAGTCCCAAAGTAGAACAAAACACCTGTCCAGTACTCCCTGTTGCTCTTCAATGCTTCTTTTTAATGATATCAATCCATGATCAAACTGCAAACAAATCAAATCCCCATAAAATAAAACCTGAACATAATGTCAGTCCATACAAAGATGTATCACAGGGGTTCTATTCATCTTCTCACGGAATAATCGATGAGATGCTCACTAGCGACTGGCCCTGTTCAGATGGGTAGTTACCTGGGTCTCTGATGGGAAGTCGTGACCAGTAGGGTACAGCCGGTTGGGTGTGAGGACAAATAGTCTCCGAGGACATTGGCTACTGGTCGCGACATGTCATGAATTGGTACAAATTAGAATTTGTAGGTCATTGGATCGGGTCCCAGTGGCTTAATTCTCTACGAGCTAGCTTGAATTGTAACCATAAGATCCTCGGTTATCCATTGATGAAGAGTCACAAACGAGGTTGACGAGACAGCTGGCTGTCCAGCACTCCCAGATGGTTTTCCAATGGTTCTCGAACCGATGTCAGCTCATGATGAAATTCTGTAGCTGATCACAAAAGTGTTCAAAATTAGTGAATACTGAATACCTGTTTCATCCTACTTTTAGAATCTTCATCCGTGCTGCTCAATCGGGATTCTATGAATGGTGTCGACTAGTGAAGAACTCTGCACTGGAATACGTTTAAACTGATTAGTTCCATGAACAAATGTACTTCAACCACTCACAGTTTTCAGGAATAAGAAGTGAAAGGGTTGAGCATTTTGGCTAATCCATTTATTTGAGAAGTTGCATCATCCGTAATCGACTGGCTGTTAGTGAAATCTCATCTGCCAACCTACCTTATCTTTCGCTCAGATGTGATATGATGCAATTATCAATCAAAGAGGGTGCGTAGTCTGTAACAGTTGCCTACTTCCTTCTTCATCACAGATTAACTATCGGCTGTTACTTGAATTCTCTTCCAATATACTGATGCATGACAACTGCTCTAGTTGTTATTTCTGTAACCGTTAGATTATGTCCATGAATTTCAAAATGTAGTCACATCCATTTTTGTTAACTGGCTTTCAGACTGCTTCTACACGTGTCACGGAGATGAAGGAAAAGTGTCATAACGGATTAGTCTATGCTTCAGATCGAACAGCACTGTGTGTCACACAATATACCACCTGTTACTGTTTTACTGTGGAGATCCTGGATGAAGAAACAATGTATTACGCTGGGAACTGTGTACATTGTGTAGACATTTTGTTCAGAATAAGGCTACTGTTATTATTAAAGTTGAAGATATGAAAAAGGAGATCCTCTGTAATCTTTGAGGGCTGCATTCTAACACTCACATAAAAGGGTATAATGTGTTTAGTAATACTGACATCAGACAAAGAGTGCGTTCCCTTATCTGCCAACGTTTTCACCTGGCTCCAAGTATGCCCACATGATTTCATCTCCTGTTCAAATGACCTCCTCCACCATGACGATCAACTCGCCCCTTCCAATTTGGGTTCCACTTGACAGCCTGGCATGTGATGTCACTTGATGGTTTGTTTTCTCAGAGTATGGCCAATCCACCTCCGTTTCTTCCTGCAGATTTGTTGTATAATCGGTTCCTGCTGGGTTGGTTCGCTCCCAGAGATTTCTGCTGCTGATGTTCCCTGGCCACCCATCTGATCTTGAGTAGTGCTGAGCGAAGAGGGCTGCTGATGAAGTTTTGTAGTTTGTTCAAAGTGCCCTTAGCGATGCGGCTTGGTGTCAAGTGTCTGATTCGTATAGTAAGTAGCACTGATTTCACATTGGAGTTGAAAATCCGGATCTTATTTTTCATGCCGATTAGTGTTGCTGATCTCCAAACAGACTTGAGAGAAAAGAGAGCTTACCTTGCTTTCCCGAACCTCACTTTAGTGATATCCACATCAGTTCTGTCCGCCTGTATTTGAAATGATGCTTCCCAGTTTGGTAGGTAAAGGAGGTTGCCTCTTTCAGATCTCTCCCGTTTATGCTGATGCATGTTCAGCCATCGCCTTTTACATCAACTAGTGTTAGCCAACAAAGGGTTAGAGGGGTGAGTAGTGACCAGAACGAAACCTGTCATCAATCCATGAAGTCTGTGATAGTTAATTTGATCCACTTAGGGTGGTTTAGACTGCCTGGTCGGGATCCTCAGGATTTTAAGAACCAGTAGCTGTCGACTATTGGTGGTGCAATTTGAAATTGTTCTCAGTGGCGTCAGTCCATTCACTCTGAATCATCTCCTAAACGCATTACTTCTCCATTACTCTGTATGTGATTGTGTCCCTCTATAATAGTTTGTTTGTTTTACTTCTTGCTTCGCTCTCTCTGTCTCTGCCTTCACGTGTGCGTTTCTGAATAATAGCAAGCTGAACTTTCGCATTTCTGTGCAATATGCACGTGATCCGAGGTTCGATTCCTGATCAAAATATTCCTAAACCTGGCTTAACCGGCAGTAAATAAGGTAGAGAAAGAACGTTACACGTGAGGCTAGCAGTCCCTACTCTTCAGAATAAAACACGGATGCTAGTGAAAATTCAAGGCTGAAGACATCTTGAAGCCGTCCACGTTCCCCTCGGAAAGGAAAAACAAATGAAATAAATAATGTCAGTAGAATGTTTGAGCATTGTGGAATAGATTGAGTAAAGTATAATTATATTTTAATGGTTTACACGCAATGAAATTTTTTTATTATTCGTAATATTTGAAAAATATGCACTAAAGAAAGCTTACATGGTATTATACGAAAGGCATTCACAATAGGGAAAGATATAAATGAAGCAAAAGAAAAACTCATGGTGGCAAAAAGCACGAATGACATAGAAGTTACTATCTACCTGCGTCGGTGGCACAGCGGTTAGGACTCTCGCCGACCATGCACATGGTCCGTGGTTCGATCCCCTGCCGGCGCACAGCCGATATCAATGGTCGGCCTGCAATATTTGGGCTACCGATATCACATATATCTGGAAATCTTCGTCACTCAGCATCAACACCGAAATTCGGATTTTCAATACAAACGTCAAGTCAGTTTTGCTATACGGATCAGAAACTTGGCGAGTCACCAAGAATATTTCCAACAGCCTGTTGCAGACCTTTATCAACAACTGTCTTCGTTCCATACCGAAGATTAGATGGCCGGAAAGAATCAACAACAAGAAACTATGGGAACAAACGAAACAAGAACTTATCGCCCAACAAATATGCAGGAGAAAGTGGAGATGGATCGAACACTTGCTGAGGAGGCCACTGGGTGACATCGCGCGTCAGGCCAGTGCTCGAGTGAAACCCGAAAGGGAAGTGGCGAGTGGGACGTCCAAGGGTGACATGGAGGAGATCGTGTGAGGAGGAACTGAAACAGTATGGATTAACATGGATGAAGGTGAAAAGTACAGCACAAGACAGAAACAAGTGGAGGCGTGTAGTTGAAGTCCTATGTTCCACTAGGAACCCAAGGGAACAATAATAATAACAATGACATCACATGCTGAAAATTCCATACTTGTACCAAAAATACTGTGTGGTTTCAAGCTATAATCAAAATATAAAAATATAAATACAAAAATAAAACCATTTGGATTGTAAACACGTCAGACAGAAGGCTAACAGAAGAGCGGAGGAAAGCGTACTGATGAAAGGGATGAACTTAAGCATTAGTAACAAAAGATTAAAACCTGAAGATATTATACCGATGGCTGAAAGAGCACTAGAAGGACATGACAAGCAAAAAGCAGAACTGGTACGAGTGCAATGTGCATTAACCTTAAGAAAGCAAAAAGCAGAAAAACTGAATGTAACGAAAGGGGAACTAAAAGCACTTCAAAACATAAAGGCAGACAAATCCATTGTCATTAATGAAGCAGACAAAGGAAACACAATAGTTATACTTAAAAAAGCAGACCCTATATCCTAATGACAAAATCATCAGAAACAATCACAAACAAAATAATGCCAGAAACAGCAAAGGTGACAGATGAAAGAAGTAATTAGTAAGTCGAAATGGTTTGAAATTATGCCAAAATCATGTAATATACCTATGATATATGGCAAGATAAAATTGCATAAAGAAGGATATCCGTTAAGACCGAGTGTAGATTTTAGAAACACACCAGCGTATATGGTGTCAAGATTTCCCTCAACAATACTAAGGCCAACAAGAGACAACTCAAAAGCTAGAATAGTAGATTCATTTGAATTAGTGAGACGACTAAAAAACATCAAAATAGAGGAAGAGGAAATACTAGTCAGCTTTGATGTAAACAGTCTCAGTACTAAAATAAAAAATAATGCAATTTACAAAACACCTTGTACTGAGTGTCTGACTAAGTATATTTTCTTTGATTATAGCCTAATTCCACACGGTATTTTTGGTTCACGTATGGGATTTTCAGCAATTGATGTCGCCGGCCCAAAATGTTTTGCTGGCTGACCAATTGATATCAGGTGTGCATCGGTTGGGGATCGAACCCTGGACCATTTGCATGGTCGGCGAGAGTCCTAACCTCTGTGTTACCGATGCATATACGTCCAGGTCACTCAAAATAAGAGTGAATGAACATAAACGCCTAACCGACTAAAGGTCATCTCACAGGAACACAACCCTACAAGAATTTAGAGAATAATTCATCTATATCTGCACATGCACGGGACAAAAACCACAATATTGAATGGACCAATGTTTGTATTCTGAAAATCAATGTGAACAAATGGAAAGAAAGTCTAATAACAGAATTTATAATCATTAAGGTCACACCGGATACATGTAACAAGAGTGACTCAGCAGCACAACTATCAACAACCTGGAATATAATGCTGAATATGCAAAAATGAATGAACAAAAAAATCTATATTTAAGAGTACAAATCGTAAATGTGTGAATTAAAAAGCAAAATAATCCCCTATAGTTGGTTTGCAAGGATAAGTTTTTGTTTTTACGAGTTGATCACGGATTGATATCATAGTTAGAGAACCATTGAAAACCAGCCGGGAGTACTGGAGAGTGAGCTGTCTCATCCTAGTTTGGGAATCATCGGAAGTACGCACCCACTGGGGTTCAAACGCGGGACCTTCTGGTTACAAAGCAAGCTCATAGACCATTCAGCCACTGGGACCCGACTACTCAATGGCCAGTCCATGAATTCTAACTTCTACAAATTCGTGATTTGTCGCGACCACAAAACAATGTCGTCGGTGGGGCATCCATTCTCACACGTGACATCTAGATGGACCTCACTGGTCACGACTTCTCACTAGAACTCCGCGAAACTCCTTCCACCACTTGGTGTGATCACGGGGCAGTAATTTTGCTCGAAATATTACCAAAAAAACAACAAAAACTTAGAATTGTGTGTAAACCATTGAAATATAATTATACTCTATTTCACTAAAATAATAACAATAAAAAGACAACTTACTTGCAAAATGTCTTAACACACGGTTCACACTATCAGTTACTGTTGAATTACTGAGATCACCGTCAACTTTCAAATTCTTCAGTGTAGGCTGTAGGGCTAATACTGCCACTTTCGTCCAGAATATAATGGCAAACAGTATAAATGCAATTATACAAATTAACTGAAATTGAAAAAAATATTTACAAAATTAAGAAAACAGTTTTTAAGTGATTAAAAATGCCCATTGAAATTTTCAAAAGAATTGACACGGAACAAAGAGTACTCTTTTCGATAAATTAATCATCAGCTTCTACAATTATATGTATACATTATAATGAATGAATGAATTAGTCTTATGAACGACATTAATGTTGTTTAAATGACATCAAATCAATAATATTGATAGATTACAGCTGAACAGCATCAACATAAAATAAACTGAATGTCAGGAGAATTAGGAAAGGTAATAGTACAAATTCATGAGTTTATAGTCTCTACTAAGGGCCAGGTCAGTAGTAGGGGCTGGTTGGACTTGTTTCTTTTGGACACATAGCACTGGTTGCTTGAGGCTAATTGCAATAGCCTCTGATGTTTGGTACATGCGGTGCTTCGACGATTTCAGTAGTTTGTTAGGCACCCGGTATATCATAGAGAAGGATTCTTCTACGCTGGCTTTGTGACCGGTTTGCACCAGATGGTCTAATATCGAGCTGTTAATAGTTTTAACTACACCTTTACTTAGCTATAGTGGGATATGCTCTCGAACACGAAAAATCTAGTTCCTAGAGCAACGGCCAACATAACTCGCTCCACAAGCGCAGTTGAATTGATAAATACAATTTGAAGTGGCTAGTCTAGGTACTTCATCTTTCAGTCGAGGTAGCACCATCGGTCATGTAGAGAATAATAGGTGTAGTTTCCAGCATTAAAATTTCTTTGAACTGATTTTCTTTATTTCTTCGTAATTAACTCGCTTGCTGTAAATTGTTACTGTTGTGGAATAAAGTGAATTATTATTATTATTATTATTGGTATATCTCTCATGAATTGTAGTCGTATATAAAAAGGCTTCTTGTTTACAGATAGTGGGTAGTCCTTTTCGGCTTTCTTTGTCATATGTTTCTTGATAAATTTGTCAGGATAACCATTTTCGATTAAAGTATCATATACCATGCTTAATTTATCTTTAATTACTTCTTCAGAGCATATAGCTCTAACTCTTTGGCTAAGGGTCTTCACTAAATTTCTTTTGTAATGATGGGAACGAAGCTGTGAAAGTGTTTATTTTGTCCCTTCCAAGTACTTTTTCTGTGTAAATTTCTTTTTATGCTACCGTCTGGTTTTCTTGTAAGTAGGACATCCAGGAAGGCAATTCTGTCTTGGGATTCCTCTTCACATGTGAATTTCATAGCCGAATGTACTTCATTGAATTCAGTAATTATTGTACTCCTATCGGAACTATTATCACAAAGAATAAAGGTATCATCCATATATCGGCAATAAAATGAGAGCTTACTGATAAGGTTGTTCAGAGGTCCATTTTCTAGCTTACTTAGAAAGAAATCAGCCAGAATGGGACCCAGTGGGGAGCATATCGCCACCCCGTCCACTTGCCTGTAAAGCGTGCAGTCAAATTTGAAGTTTACATTCATGGTACATCTTAATATCAATTCTTTTAGGATTTCAATATGGATTCCAATGTTTATCGACTGCTTGTCCACTTGTTCACATAGATAATTAACTGTTTCTATTAGAGGTACATTTGTGAATAACGATGTTATGTGCAGAGATATCATGGTTTTGTCCTTGATGTTAATATCTTTGATTTTGTCTACGAATTCAAATACATCTTTGACGCTATATTTCACTATCTTCTCATGCAATGGTTTGAGAATATTTACTAACCATCCAGTTAGAGCATGGTAGGGCGAATTTTGCATATCAAGCATTGGTCTTAATGGTACCCCGTGTTTTTATTTTTCTAAAGGCATGAGAACAATAAACATTGTCAAGGTCAGTGTGGGAAGGGTGAGAACTGGATTCAGTATCTGAATAAAGCGAGAACAACGGTAGTTTTTGTGGAATAAGATGATGGTACCATCACTGTTTATTTTGGTCGGCTTCTCATTAGCTCAGCAACCTGCTTACAGCCTAAATAAATTGTTATTAAGTTCATGTACAGAAAATTTTTTTCTACACACTTGCAAATTTTACACGATGTCTGTCAGTTGACAGAAGGTTCCGGGCTTAGTGAGCAGTGCTCAGAAAATGCGCCTATGTAGTTTTTACAAAAGGAGTTCAAGTTAAAACAAAGTGAGTGTATGCCTACCATGGTAAAGGAGTTACGTAATAAAGACGAGAGATGCTTAAGATGATGAGTAACTAATAAAATTGAGAAACAGTGTGGTGAATTCAAATCAAATCACAGAAACAGGAGACAAGAAAAGCTGCTCTATATCAAAGTAGAATGAGGTTAAAGCCAAAGATTACGCAATCAAATGAAAGAGCAAATAAAGACACGAAGTTACCAGGATTGGCAAGGGAAGACTGATAACTGCTTCTTTCTCAAAAGATAAATCGGGTTTCAGGCGTTTGATAAAGATAACTTCGGTAAACTTGAGGTGAAGTGAGCTTTTTTGTCTATTGATAATTTTAAAGGATTTCACGATTTCCACCTCCTGACCCATGTCAAGGAGATATCTCGTAATGGCACGATTGTAAGCGTTTTTTTCCTTGATACGTAAGCTTTTCGATACATGTTCAGATAGTCGGAGGTGTGCCCTTCTTCCTATTCTTCTAATGTAACTGCTCCCATAGATACACGTAAATCACAAAATAATTGAGTAAAGAATATCCTTTTCGATGATTCCCTCTTCTGGCTGTACGATTATATACATATTTATATATATAGAATACTCTAAAATATTCGCTGTGTATTCAAACCACTCCACTTTTCCTTTCGGGAGTAAAAGATAAACTGCCTGATTTCTCCTATTCCATGTGTGTGTGTATCTACCAATGCAACTGCTCCTGTGGAGTGAGCCAATTAGCTGCGTCGGACGTACAATTAGGCGTGTTTCTCGCTGGATTTCCGAACATCACCCTGTATGGTGGTAAAGCAAAGGATAGAGAACACAAGATTGATGTTAACGAAGTGGCTTTTAGGGTCATTTACCGCATACTAACAAATCTCAATTTCGCCTTAAGAGTTTTACCACTAAATATTGCTGAGGCTGGCTGTTAGGATCCATATTAACAAGCCTAATTTGTGCATCTAAAAGAAGTTAGTTCAGACATTATGCTTACCCCTATGGCCATCTAGGTTTGAATGATCCTGAAATTTGTGGAATTTTCCTAATTTAAGTTGATATTCTATTTGCTACTATATCTTTATTATTATTATTATTATTATTATTTAAGCATCTTTAATGAACTGTAATTCCGCTGTGATCTTACTTAAAAACCGATATTATTTAAAAAACACCAAATATTGTTATTGACTACTAATCTAGAATATTCTATGCATATAAACTTATGTATATAATTGTAGAGTCAGAAGAGGAAATTATCGAAAAGGATATTCTTTACTGAATTATTTTGTGTTTCATACACGTTAATTAGTATACACAGTCGAAGGTAACATGAGAAGGGTATCTGACTGCACCAAAAAGCATGTTCTCCGATGGTGCCATATTATTCTGCTAAAACTGTTGTTCTTGCTTTATTCAAATTCATAAAGACGAATAAATGTATGAAGAATTCAATACCATCAGGTGTATGCTTTAAACCCTCCATATACAGACTAAATTGAGGATCTATATACATTTGAATAGCTTAAGATATCACTACAAAATATAAACAATTTGACATCGTGTTTAGTGGTACAATCAACAACAAAGTAAGTTACTAGTGTCCAGTCAAAATAAATTTCAATGCGGATATCATGACAAAAGGGACATCAGTTAGAGAATCATTGAAAACGAAAAAGCACTGGAGAGCTGTTTCATCCTAACTCGGGACTCTTCAGTCATTCATACCTACAACACAACCAGAGGTTTTCAGATTATGAGGCCTAGACTGTTGATCATGTGGCCACTTGAGCCGGAACCTAATGATCCCCGTATCCAAACTTCGTTTTTCGATTTCTCGTTATAACTACAGGACATCCAGCCAGTAGTCATCAGTGACCTGGGGACTGATATTTAGACTACACATTTTGTTACCTGAAGGTGCCCGGTCCAATCTCCGATGGAGTCAAGAGTACTCGCTGTCGAAGGTTACAAAATTACCGTGAAACAGCCGCTCAGTACGCCCTGATCTTCAGTGATTCTTTAACAAAATGTACATTGAAACCAAATAGGCATTATTGCATCTACACAACACTAGATCGCATACAGGGCTTCTGCTTTTGTTGGAGGATTGGTGTCCACTGGCAGGCAGTTCCGTGTGTCCTGTTGGTGGTAGTGGTGTATTTCTGGGCGAGTTGCCAGTGGTGATCGTTTCAAGAGTCCTTTAAAGTGATCAGCTCATTGTTTGATTTGTTTCTCCTCCTTGGTGACCAGGTTCCCTTGAGCTTCTTTTATTGGTTTCCTAATCTGGGTTGGCCTCTTCCCAGATAGAGACTTGGTTATCTGATATAATGTCCTCAGGTCTCTTTTACCTGAGGTCTGCCTCTTCTGCTTCAGTTACCGGCTAGTGTGTCGTAGAATTGTCGATTGTCTTTTCTAGTGCTCCTCTTCACTTCTTTATTCAGTGTAGTGTACATTGAATTCAGCTTCTCTTTCTGTTGTCCATCTTTGCACTGAGTCTTCTTCTCTTTCACCATCCTCCTCTCCTCTCTTCTGTTAGCTTCCAGGTAGATGTCCATTGAGAGCCATTCTTTGTCGTGTCTCTTCTTTCTCCCTAGTACAGTTGTACACTTTTCCTTGAGCATCACCTTCAGAGAGTTAGTTTCAATGTTATTCCACGCTGGTTTCCTCAGTGATGCCACGTACTGTCTCTTGCTTCGCTTTGATATCTGTAATGAAGATTTTCTTTTTATTGGTAGGAGGCTTTCATCATGAGTTGACATTAGTTAGAGAACCATTGGAAAATAATCTGGGAGTACAGTTGTTTCGTCAGTCTAGTTTGAGACTCTTCAGAAGTACGCACCCACCCCACTGCCAGGGCTGGAACCCAGGA